GTGCATATAATTTTGCTTTTTTTTTTTTTTTTTAATAATTATCATAGTTTAAATTTAAGAATAAAGGAATATTTTACATACTTTCTGTTATCATTAGTGGATTTTAAGAATGATCTAAGTTGTTAATGTAACTAAGACTAGCAATTTAAATAAATATCTTAGTTGCATATACTTATGACATTTTTGGTTTATAATCTATAATTAACCGTAAGTTATATATACCTTATAAAATACATATTCATCAATATTTATCCTTAAATCGTTTTCAACAAAAAATTTTTAAATATTTCTTGATACTTAAAATATTTAGAAATAGTTCTTGTAAGAATAATAATGATATCAATATAATTAACTTTTTTCATTAATTCAAACAATAAATTAATTTTTCATCATTCTTTGAAAATGTACTTCATTCATCTTCAAACTAAATGAAAATTTATCAAAAACAAATGCAACTTTACCTGGAACTGTAAAACATGGATATTCTTTACTATTTTCTTCTAGCATAATGTTTTATTTCAAAGATGCACCTTAGAAAAAAACTGATCATCATGAAAATTTTGAAATATTCTTTATATGTGGTATAAATGTAAGTTATATTATTCAAATGATAACTTGTAGTTACCTTCTAAGTTTAACCTTTTTTGTCCACTAAAATAATTAGTAAAATTATTTTTTCATTTTTATTTCTAGTTTTAAGTTTTAACTACATAACGTAATCAACTTTTTTATGAAACTTGTATAGTATTTCTTCTCTTAATGGTCTAAGGTATTATCTACACAACTTGCCTCACAATTTCATAGAAGCTTAATACTTATTCATTATTATTTTTGTTACTTTTTCTCAAAGAAAAATTCTGAACACATATTTTTTTCTTAAGTTTCTTTATTATTCTGAAATATTTATTTATTTATTTTTTATTCAATAAATTATGGTAAGTTATTAAGGATAAAATTAATAAATATAGAAAGAACTTAATTTAATAATAAAATTCCTGTAAAAATATTTATATATATGAATACAAAGTAATTAAAATATTTAATATTAAATAATTACTTTATTTCATAAAAATTTTTAAAATTTAATAATAAAATATATATATTGTCTTAATATAATTTATTATATTTCTATCTAATAATTAGGGAAGAGTTTAAATCATTCAAAAAAAAAAAAAAATACTCTAAAAAAATTATAAAGTACTTAGCATATATTCTCACTTTATAGTAATTATTACCTAATTATAAATAAAAGTTATGATTTATCAAATTATTATAATTTTTGTTAATTATATTACTCTTTTTCTCCTTCAAAAATAAAAATTTATCTTAAAAGATATATTCTTAAATGACTTATGTACATAATTACCCCTTTAGCTACATTAGGTTTGTGTTTGCATCAGCACTTCAGAAATGCCAATAATATTACTTATTTAGGAAATATTAAATCTATTTTACTTAGGGTTTCGTAATATTAATTTCGTATTATTTCTACCTCTCCTCTCACTTTTCTGATTTTAATTTCATAGAATACAAATAATTTTTGTTTCTTCTTTCATTAACACCTCCTAATGAGTCCATGTCCTTCTTCTAATAAGAATAAACTCATTCGTGAAACTTACTGTCAAGAGTTTCATCATAACCTGATTATTCATGTTTCTTGTAGTAATGACTATTTCAATGAAAATCATCTCTTTATAATTACTTATAACTGAGCTTGATTTATAGAACTTCTACTCCCAATTCCAACTCAATTATTTTTCTTAAAAGAAAAATATGATACATAAATTACTATATTTATTTATTAAAATTATCAGTGAGTTTATGCTAGTTTCAGCCATATATTAACATTATTATTAATATTATTACTAAAGTTGTTAGAAATTATATAAATCGGTAATTGTTTTTACTTTATTCCATTATCATAATTTTGTTCATTCCTAATTCATTCTTACTAACTTAAATTTATTTTATTTAATTCATTCTATTTATTTTTCTGAAAGGATTTTTTTTCTTCTTTCTAAGACTTATTCTTATACCTCTCTTATGTTTTTTCCTTATACCTCTTAATATATTCCATTCTTTGATTAGGATATTTTTACATAGTATGAATAATTTCTGTATTCATGTTTTTGATAATTTTTTCTTTGGAATAATTACTTTTATTTTACTTCATACATTTAATGCTTCTTCCTTTGGTCTAGTATATTGTTATTTCATACTGTGATCAGTAGGAAGTTATTGAAATTCTAACATTTTTTTTTTTTTAAGGTTTGGATTCTCCTTTTATAAGACAACTTTCACTATAAAAAAAACTTACTATGCTACTGAATTATATTGATGTTTATATTTTCATTGTATTCTCTGTTTATATAGTGCAGTTCTATATCTAATAATGTATAATCAATATTATTTTTATATAATACCTTATTTGATATCATAACATATAAAAACTATTGTTGTTTAATATCCTTAATGATATTTTACTTTTCATTTTTTTTTTGAATTTTATCTTTAAAATATTTCCAAAGAGTTAATGATGTTAAATCATTGGAATCTTCAAATAATAAGCAGCCATTAATATATATCTTAAAAACTTTAGTAAATAAACTTTTGATTTTTATATCATTAGTTTTTCTATAATAAGAAATAAACTTTTTTATTTGCAAAAATTCTTAACATTTATCCTTAAAAAGAAATTTGTATAGCTTAATTTTCAACTTTCAAATGTTGGTTATATTTATACCCTTTTATATAGCTTCTAAAAAATGAAAATAAACTTTTGTTCACAAAAGTTTGATTATCTAACATGTCTTAACTTTAAATAACATTAGTATCTTCACTTTTCCTTCAAAAACTAGAAACCAACTAAAATAGTACTCTAGAGGATTTTCTCTAAACTTAGGTAATTCATAGGCATTTCGACCTTTGTGATTTTATTGTCATTTTGAATATTAAACTTAAATGAATTAATAAAATAAATTTTATTAGAAAAAATGTTTAAGTTTAACTATCTTTGAATCCACTTTGATAACTTTATAGCACATAATTTATAAATAGAATGATTTATGTAATCGTTCATCTCATATATCATAACGAATTTAAAAGTTATAAATTGAATTAATAGTTATATATAACACTTACTCATTCTCTCAATTAAAGTGTTATTTCCATTTTAAAAAAAAAAAAAAAATTTAGATAATAAAATACATTAAATAAACATGTTATAATTTTATAGTCTTATTTTTTTTAATATAGAAATATTTCATTACCTAATTCACAAATATCAAGTAAAAAAATTTTCCTTTACTTTTAGGATATTTATCCATATTTATCATCAAAAAAAATTATAAAAATATTAAAAAAGAAATTTATTTAAAAAAATATATATAATTTATAGTTTGGTCCTATGAAAACTCTAATATATATTTAGTATTTAAGTACATATGAGAACTATATATACACATGTATTATCTTTCCATATTAAATACAATAGTATCTTAACAACATAACATAATTTTAGCAACCATTTTATTAACCAACAAGTTAATGCTATAAATAAATTAAAAAATAGAAAAAGAAAATAAGCTATCCTTTAATAATTAAAAAAATTTCTTTAATATTTCAACACTATTTTATAGTAAAAAAATAAGTAATTATCGAAAATTATATAGTTCTTGTAGGAAGAATCATTATAATAACCTTTAGTGGTTCCTATTCTAAAGTTACAATTTTTCAATAATTAAAAAATCATAACAAAAAATATTATTAAATTTTAAGATGAAAAACCAAATATGATTTTATTATTCATTTTTTTAATTTTCATTTTACTATATTTTTACATTTCTTAGATTATTTTAAAACATATATTTTATTATTACGGTTCTCTAATAAATAACTTTAATATTCTATTTTTTTTTTAATTTTAATGTAACAGAAAAAAAAAAAAAATAAAATAAATATTTTCCTTATATGGTATGTTAATATTTGTATATTCATAAGATATCACATAAAAAAAATTTTATTATAAAAGAATCTAAAAAAATTAAATAAAACAGTATTTTATAAATATAATGTCAACGAATGAATGATAAAGAATATAATAATAAATCATTTATTATAAATTGAATTATTCTGATATTATATAAAAGAAAGCGTATTAACATGGTATTTAAATAGTGGTAGTAGGTAACTTAAGAATTTATTACGAAAATGTAAAATGAGTAATTTGATAAATATTATATATATATAAAATAATATTTAAATAATCATTTTTTATTTAAAAAATGTTTCCATAGAATAAATATTAAAAACAAAATTGATGCAATACAACAATATCTGAATTCATAAAAAAAAATAATTACATTGCCAACTGAATTAACCTATGGAATTGTTAAAAAATTACTAGAAAATACTTAAAACTACAACCTCTTATGCGTAAATTTTTAAAAAATATTGTAATATAAAACTTTCTCATGAATTATTATGATGAATTAATTTCATATATTTAATTCACTGTGTACTTCTAAATAAATTGTAAAGATGGAAAGTTAATTTTAAAATAAAAAAATATATAAATTTAGAATTATATTATATTCTCTATATATACATTTTACTTTTATATTTACATATATACTTATTTATTTTGTCAAAAATAAAAAATTCAGGATAAATTTTATTATTCATTTTATTATTGTAACAATCACATAAATTTAAAAAAGCTTGTTAAATCCTAATTATATTTTTGTTGTTCATTATTTTTTATTATTGAAAAATATTTTTTTTTTTTTTTTTTTTTTTTTTTGAAAATAACAATAAATAAAAAATATTTTTCTGTATATGGCAACATAATATTTTCCTTTAATAAACTTTCATTTTCGTCAGTTTTTTTTTTCTTGTATAAATAATATTGATTTTCTTACTTTGAATAAAATTTTTTTTATTGTCATTTTATAGAAACTTTTTCTTTAAATTTAATTTATTTGTTTTTAATCCCACTATAAATGTCTTCCATGCTGTTGTGGATCTTAACTTTTGCTTTTTTTTTTAATTTAATTTGTAGCTTAATAGCTTCAAATTTAACGACACTAAAAGATGAAGATTTTGAAATTATTTATGAGTCTCACTCAAGAAATTTGGTTATTTTAAGTCAAAATCCAAAAAAATGTAACAATGACACCTATTATATAAATGATGAATGTAAAATTATTAACCCTCAGATAAAAGTTAATATGAATAACGTTGAAACGTGTTTAAATAAAAATAAATGTTCTCATGTAGCAAAATATATATTTGAAAATATTAATATAGACATAACTTCTGAACAAATTTTTTCCAAAAAACTTCCTTGCAACAATGAAAGTGATGAAAAAAACTATGAATGTAATAAGGAATTATTTATAAATGAAAATATGAAATGCATGTGTTGTAAAAAAGAGTTATCAGATTTTATTAAAGATGAAACAGATAATAATGTATATGAAAAATGCAAAAATTATAATCAGTATGTTTTCACTGATTGCAAATGCTTATTAAAAAATGTTGCAAATGATAGTAATATCTATATAAATAATTGTGAAAATTTTACATGTAATGGAGGTTTATGTACACTTAAAACAAATGGAGATCCATTTTGTTCTTGTTTTGATAAATATTATTTTGATATGAAAAAAAATGCATGCGTAAAACATGAAGATGAAAATGATATTCTATTATATAAGGATAAAAATAATAATTCTGAAGAAAATCATAAAAACACATCTACAATTAATGAATCCTCATCCAATGATAATCCTGTAAATTCTCTCACAACTTCCTTGACAAAAAATAGGGAGAACGAATTAATAGATAATGGAAATAAAAAGAAAACCATAAATAATTCATGCTCTAAAAATCATATAAAAAATAAGCATGGAATATGTGAACAAAAAAATATTTTAGAAGAATCAGTTTGTCTTAGAATCGAATGTTTTAATGATCATGAGAAATCAGAATGTTTTTGCTTAAATAAAAATGGAGAAAAAATAGATTATAACACTTTTGATGTTTCTTATATAAGTACATGTACCCTTAATAACATAAATTGTGACAATGGAAAATGCAATAATTCATTAAAAAAAGATAAACTCGGTTGCATTTGTGATGAAAATTATATATATGATAATGATTTAAGAGTATGCATTAATTTTTCCTTAAGAACTTTTCTAAATTTCACAATAATTATTGCAATATATGCTATAATGTCAATTATATGTTGAAAAAAAAAATAAAAATATTTCAAATATTTTTGTAAATACTTTAAGATTTAAAAAAAAAAAAAAAATTATATATATAATAATATTTTTGTTAAAGTAAAACTTTCATATAAATGATAATTGTATCACATTTTAAAGAATAGTATATTTCATTTATTTATTTATATGAGTTAAATACATATATGCACAACCTTCATATATAATATTTTTTTTATTTAAATTCATAATTAAATTTATTAATTGTCATAAAAAAATACTTTTTAACATTTTTTAAGTTATATGTATCTATTCAAATATTTATAATTTATGAATTTTTATATTTTTAAAAGTTAAAATTTTTTTCTCATTTATTTTTTTTTTTTTAAATTTTGCGTATAAAACAAGATAAAATATAAACAATTTTTCATTTTAATACACAATACTTTTTAATTTTTTTTTCTTAAAAAAAAAAAAAATTATGATAGTTTTATGAAAATTTAGGAGTTTATTTTACTGTTAATTTTTACAAATATGTCTATTTTTTCAAATATATATAAAATGTTTTTGAGGAAAAGTAATTTAATTTCGATTTTGTAAGCCAATATTAAATGTTGTAAATTAATACATAATAAAGTTTTGCTTTTGATCTACAGAAAAAAATTTTTTTTTTTCATCGAAATGCTATATCAAAAACAAATGAAACTATTTGCTCTCAAAATATAAAAAAAAAATTTATTAAATTTTAACTCATTTATTACTAATGATATATATAATTATAATCTTTATTTAAAAGAAACAGTTAAAAAATCACAAGTTTTATTAAAAATTTATAAACTATGAATATAAAAATTACATAATTAAAAATATCTTCTCATTTTTGAATTTTCGTTATATAATATAAAAAATTGTTAAATTATTGAATTAGATATACTCTTAAAAGAAAAATTAAATTATTTTTATATAATTTTGATATTTCCTCTTAGTAAAAAAAAAAAATAAATTGTAACATTTTTTTAATTTACATATATAATTTTTTCTCAAAGTTTGTACAAATAAAACAATATATCTTTTTATAAAGTATTGAATAATACAACATTTTTGTATCAAAAAAAATATTTGATTGATGAATTTTTATATATTTATTTTTATTATTTTTTTTTTTTTTTTGTATATTTACTATTTTATATAATTATTCTCTATATTACTTTAGTTTTTATATGCTTTATTATTCTTAAGACGTTTTTATATATGCAAACAGGAAAAAATTTAAATAATACTTGTTTATTAAACATATACATCCTATATATTTAATAGATAACGTTATCTTCTATTTAATATAATATTATTAAAAATATTAAATAAAATGAAAAAATAATGAAAATTTTTTTTTTTTATATGGTAATAATTAAATATAAATTTGCAAAAAATAGTATGTATCAACTTAATGTACTGAACAAATTTTTAATTTAAAAATTATTATCCTATAAATGAAATATAAATAAAAATAATTAAAATAAATTTTCTTATGATAAATCCTTAGTAATTATAGGAAATTTTTATTATTATATTATAAGGAATACACTCACAAAAATATAATCTAAAGATAAGTTAAATACTTAAAATTAAAATATTTTACATTTTCTTTAATATACTTTCTTTTAATTCATTATTAAAAGTATAATGTTAAATTATTTAAGCTATTAATTGTTTTGAAGTAGTATCTAATAGTTATAACAGTAAGAATACATGGAAATTTTAAATTATAATAATTTAGATAATATGTATATCGATGTTGTTTAGTATTTACAAAGGTTTTTTCATTAAATTACTTTTCCTACATTTTAATATCAATTAACTTTATGTTTTATCTAATCTCCCATTTTCCTTGTACAAAAGTATCAAAAAAATATTTATATATTATTTCATTTATGTTTAATAATAATATATTGTTTATTTATATCAAATTCAAAATAAAAGATTAATTTTTTTCTGTTTTTTATTTGAACCTCTAAAAAAATAATAAAATCATGTCAAGTATTTTAAAAGGGAATTTTCTTATAATAGTATAATATCCAAAATAATCTATTTAGTAAAATTTTTTATTATTTATGAATTTATAGAAAGATAAAAGAAATTTATAGGCTACTATAAATAGAAAGAATGTTTTAAGTATTTATAATTTTTTCCATAATTAAAAATAGATATTTTATATTTTTAAATATTTATCATAATATTTATATTATTACTTTAACATATAATAAAGATATGTACAATTATAATTAAAAATAACTGTTTAAAAATCCAAATAAAACAAAATATTTATATAATTATATATATAATATTAAAAATAAAATATGATTTTAATTCATGAATATATAAAATAAATGTACTTATATATAAAATATTAAATCGTGTTTTTAATTTATTATCTTTATATTAATAGTCATAACTTAGTATTTTTTTATGACATTTATAGAAGATCTATTATTATTACTTTTATTAAAAACTATGTACATATAAAAGCCACTTGTATAACTATGAAAACACTTTCATATTTTTAAAGATGTAATTTATTATATTTAACATAAAAAATAATGATACGGAATTTTTTTCATTTTATTTTAATTTAAAATTCGCTTATTTAAAAATTATTTATAAATTTCAATGGAAAATATCTTATTAAAGGAATAAACAAAGAGCAAAACATTAGTATGATAAATACTTCTTAATTTTTTTTTTTTTTTTTTTTTTTTAGTAATATTAATTACAAGATTAATTTTACCTATTTTAAATATATAGAAAATCATAAACTCTTAAAAAACATGAAATTAATATTATATAAATCAAATAATTACACTAAAATAGCCTGAAACATTTTTATGAATGTATTTTTCATGTTGTCTATTATATTTTAATAGTATAATTAAAAAAAAAAAAAAAAAAATACTGAAATATAGAAATCTTCTAAAAATTTCTTTTTATTTTTTCTATATGTTAAATACATTTAAAGTATGTAAATACATATATATTTGGACACAATTTAAGTAAAGTTTATTTAGAAAATCTCCAATTTATATAATTTAATTTCTAAGTATTGTAAAAGCTTAATAAAGTTTAGAATTTTTGATGATGAAAAAAAAAATAAAAAAGTACAAAATATATCTAAATACCTAATATACGTGCTATAATAACATTAAAATAATTTCCAGAAAAAAACATGGATAATTCATGAGAAATTAAATCAAATAATCTTAATATAGAATTAGTTTAAATAAAAAAAAAAAATTGTAAGAATTATTTCTTGAAAAAATAAAAAGGATATTTTAAATAAATTAATTTATTATTTTTTTCTTTATAATTAATATTTGAAGCCACAATAATATATAAAATAACATAATGTATCCATTTCAGTTTAAATATATAATAAATTTTTATAAAAATAATTTCACATTATATATATTCTTTAAAATTTAATTTGTTTACAATATAAACCCCCTAATGATAAATTTATATATTATATGATTTTTTCACAAATTAAAAATCATAAAAAAAAACTTTTTATTTTTATTTTTTGAAATTCTTCATTTATTTTTTTATCATATTAATATTATTATACAATAGATTATATAGATAAAAGGAATTGTTAATATCTATATATATATATATATATTCTTATGTTTATAAAAAAATAAATAGTTTCCATCTAATTTGTATTGCTACAAAATTTATAGAAAATACAAAAATAAAAATATAGTATTAAGATATATATTTTTTTTTTTATTTAGTTGAATATTGTTTAAAATATTAAAATATGCAAAAAAGTTTCAAGTTAATATATTTCCATTTATCACTTTCTAAAAAAAGGTTTATACTTGTTTAAAAAAGAATTTGTGATTTATTATAATGGAATATAAATATGATTTTAAATATTTAGAAAACATTAACTACCATATATGAAGCCATGATTTTTTTTTTTTTTTAATAAAGTAAAAAATTTATAATTTTCGATAATGGATTATAATAAAAAGATTTTAAATATTTAAAAATAAAAAAAAAAAAATCCATTAAAAAAAAAAAAAAAAAACTTTTTAAATAATCAGTAAAAATTAAAAAAAATAATAAATAAAAGTAAAAAAACATACATAAATAAAAAAAAATTTTAAATAAAGGAATGAAAAAATAAAAAAAAAATAAAAAAAAAAAAAAAAAAAAAAAAAAAAAAAAAAAAAAATTTAAAAAAAAAAAAATAAAAAAAAATTTAAAATAAAAAAAAAAAAAAAAAAAAAAAAAAAAAAAGTTGATTTAACCAAATGGAAAAATAAAATTAAAGTATTAATAAAAAACCAATTTTTTTTAAACAAGAATCATTTTATTTTTTTTTTTTAATAACGTAAATTTTTATAATTTTTGCTCCCTATTATTTTAAAATTAAATACTAATAATAAAAGTATATAAAAATTTTTTTTTTTAAAGAGAAAATTATAAAGTTTTTAAAAAAGTAAAATTTATGTAGGACAAGAATAATATATGTAATGATAGTAATGGAATAAGGTTCTCTTTAGTGTACATTTAAACTTAAATTTTGCATTTCCTTTTTATTCCTTCATCTTTTTAAAAAAACCTTTTATATAACTTTCATTTTTCTTTTTTTTTTCCACTATATTTTGTTTTTTTCTACTTATTTTGTAAATTATAAAGTATAAAACATTTATATTTTATTTTTTATGAATAAATTAAAAAAAAGATGAATTTTAAAGATGCCAAAAAGGAATCAGAAGATCGTAATCATAAGAATGATGGTAACTAATAGATATAAATATTTAAAGAAAATATATATAAAGTAAATAATGTTTATATGATTCATGAGATATTATATATATTAAATGATTTTATGATTAATATTTTGGTTATGTATTAATATATTAAATTTTCATTATTATTTATAATTGATAAATTAATCTTAATAGTTGCAAATATATTTATTATAAATTAAATTTACATACATTTTTATTGAAATATTAACGAATTTAATAAAAGATAAAAAAAAAATAAAGAATTAATTTAGAATATATATATATTTATTTTTTCATAATTTAATTTAAATTTAAGAAATATTATTATAAATCCTAATTTATGCATAATTTTTTTTCATTTTTATATATTGAAGGATCAACATTGTATGTATCTAATTTAAGTTCAAAAATAACAACAGCAAAACTTCAAGATATTTTTGAAAAATTTGGTAATATAGAAAAATGCTATGTTATCAGCAATCCAATCACCAGGTAATTATTCATATAATTTAAAATAAATTACATATTATATAATGAGATATAAAAGACAATTTATTATTTAATCTATTGACGTATTTTGAAATTATATTAAATAATAATTATTATATTAATCGTTAAAATAAACAGAGAATCAAGAAACTTTGGATTTGTCACTTTTAATTCATCTCATGAAGCTCATAATGCTTTGAGTAAAGCAAATAAGATGGAAGTAGAAGGTTAATAATGTGTATATATACATATATATATATATATATTTATATATATGTATATATATAAAAAAAAAAAAAAAAAAAAAGATTAGCAGAAAAAAAAT